AAAACAATCACCCACGTAAATGTCATTAAAAATGCATAATTTTGTATTATAATTATGTAAAATATGCTTGACATTTAAATATGTTCCAATTATTTTTTAATAAATTACATTTTAGTTCAATTATTCACCCCTTTCACCTAAATTTAACAGAATACTTTTATGCAAGTAAACACTTTGTTGCATTGTTATTATTCTTAATTCTTAAAAAAATCTATTGCCAAAATTTTTATAGGGTTAACATATTAATCATATTAAAGTGTTAAAGTGTTAAAAAACAATTGAAAAGATAGAAAAAATTATCCATGAATTTAAATTTAAACGCTCTGACGTTTGTTTATATATTTGTCAGTCCTTTGGTGTCACGAAGAGAATGAAAAAACTCTGATTATAATTACCAATAAGTCCCATAAAGACAGGTACATCATCCGTTACAATTTTTGGGATATTGAAATCTCTAAGCGCTCTCATTAACACCTGATCTTCGTCTCTCTGCGGGTCGTCCCTTTTCAGTTTCCCAGCAACGACCAAAACCGATTTAATCGCTCTTAAACCCCAATCGTAGTGATCTTGTTTCGATAAAAGTTCTCGGCAGAGCTGATAAAGCGTTATAAATTTTCTTGCTAATAATCGAGCTTCCTGAAAACCTTCCGCTACCAGCATGATCTCGCAAATCAAATCGAAATCCGGGACCACCATTGCGCAAGGCCTTTGGAGGAAGACGAAGAATTACGCTTTAAATTGAGCCCGGACAGAATATCGCACGAATTTTTATTACAAAGTTGAAGGAGCTCGAAGATAGACAATCTTTTAATTGCAATTTAGTGATCCTTTAACTTAATCACTGCTAAGTACATTACTACAACTACACATTAAATGTCTAAAATAAACTAATGAATTAAGTAAACAGAAAATAATAAATAATTATATAAACACTTTCCCTTCTGACCATTTCTCATGCATGAATCTGTTAACTACTACTAGTATTTATTACTTTTCTTTGTAGTTTTTTTAACTTTAGAAGATTATTTGATCATAGACTCAGGAATGAGGGACTGATTGGTCACTTTTCATCTTTTCTCATCTCATTTTCGATACTAATTTGCTGTTCGTCGATACGATTACATGTAACCAATGAAAACTTAAAAAAAACAATGTGTCGTTTTGCTAAGCAACAAATCATCCCTTAACAGTATTTACCGGAATAAAGTTTTCAAGTTTTCAGGCAATTCCGTTCTTCCAGCGTATCCTGGATTCATCGTGATGAACATTCCAACGGTACTAACAAGATTCAGTTCTTCACCAAAGAATAAAAACGTCGATTTACCACTTTTCACTCCGTCTAGAACCGATTTCACTTGTACGGCAACCACCGAAAGAACTTCCACGGAAATGCGGTTGAATTCATCGAAACAACCCCATGCTCCAACTTGTGCGAGCCCTTTATAAATATTTCCGCAAGACTGTAAGAAGATAAACGTGAAATAATTAGGGATAATACGTTTTTTACTTCTTTCATCAAGCTTTAATAATCAACTGCATAATTCAATACAGAATTATATGCACATAATTGCATACATAATTAATATTATACATTGATATTTATTTTAAGTGACTTTTAAGTAATAATACTTTGTTATGATTCGTTAGGATTTAATAAATAGACAGAGGAAGATGGAACAAGAGGAGAACGTTAAGCGAAAGTGGTTGTATAATTTTATATTTACTGATTTTGTTTGTACAAAAAATACCGTGTACATTATTGAAAAATTTATATTATTCCAATTACTATAATCTATTAATCTATTAATACTATAATATACATGAAATTAACAATTGAAGTAGACACAACTACTTAATCGTTAATAATTCATTAAGAAAAGAAACAAATGTTGATGCTTGTTCTATGTCTACTCCAAAGCTTAGCGATTGATAATAAAAAAGTAATATTTAATTTATCCTTAAAAAAGTAGATAATACTCAGATTTCTCAAATTCAGTTTAAAATGTTTACCATGAGTTCGACACGATATCGTAGGTCAAGGGGTTAATGAGAAAAGTTATAGCGATAGTTTTTGTTAGATGGTTGCCTAAGTGTTAACTGTCAACGTTACCTTGTAATCCATTTGTTCAGAACAATTGAAGACATATACCATTTGACCCAATGCTCGCCCTAGATCTTTCGTGGTTTCCGTTTTGCCTGTTCCAGCAGGACCAGCTGGCGCTCCGCCCATTATAAGATGCAACGATTGCGTTAGAGTTATGTAGCATCTGTCAGTTAACGGCGTTATCACCAATCGCGGGACGTTCCCTAAATATTCGTGACTGTATCTAAAAGTTGCGTCGCATATATCGGCGAAGCAATCGTGAGCTTTATCATCCCACCTGCAAGTCGTTTCCTCAAAGACATTAGTGGCTCCAGAAATTAAGAGAAGTCGCTGATTAAAACTGGTTTCTTACTTCAGTAGAAAATATTTATCATAAAATGTCGAGATAATTCTTTAAATAATTGCATGACTAAAAAGTTAGATTTTTTTGTTACAAATAATAGTTGTATAATAGTTGTATAATTATTATTTCTAGTCGAATATATTTTAATCGAGAAAATAACTATTATTCTATGATTCCTTTCCATTTTGATTATAAATGTCGTGGCTCCTGTTTACAATCATTAACTTTCTTGTACGAAAGAAATTAACTCATAACGTACAGTTTAAACAAATAGTTAACTGATGGCAAAAAAATACTACGTCTATGGAAAAGTTTTAGTTGTTACGGTCTACGTAATATTTAATACCAGGAAACTTGCGTTGAAGGAAATTCACGTAACTCACATAATTATATGTTATAGTGGTTGCATCAATTAATGATGAAGTGACCACCCGAAACATTTCTTGCTATTTCTCACATTTCACAGAAATATATACGACGAGACATTTGACTTGATTTGAGAAACGAGTACTGTTCCGTAAATTTAAGTTGATAAAATTAATCGATTCTTTTCTTAATTGATTTTTTCATAGTTTTTCTATTAAATTGTTTAAACAAGGTATTTACGATATATTGATATTTGGTACTAAATTTTTATATGCTAATTTACGATTCAAATGTTGCCGATACAGAAACAAATTAAACATACATTCTTCGACATAACAAACGATATTGTGATAAGAAACTACACAGTCGTGTACTTCAATAATTATTTTGACCGACACATTAAGAAGTATGAGTATATTTACGATTAGTTAACAATATGTCAAATTGATATTAAATTAATACACAGTAAAGTTCTGTTGCAACTAAATAATGACTCGATGTTTCAAAAAATTTATGGTAATTCATAACCGCGTGTATCAATCTGATATCTTAATTGAAGACCTCTCACCTGTGTCTAAGTTGAGATTGCCATTGAAAACTAGCAGAATTCTCCGCTTTCATTGCGATCATCTTTGCGACAACGTCTCTAGCGTGCACGTCAATAGTGCAGATAGTCATAATCTTTATTCTATCGCTAAGATCCAAATCCCCACAAAGTATCGCAATCAGGGCATTGAGCTGATTGATTTGTTTCCGTTGATAATCCTTGAATGCATTTTCAAAACCTTCTTCAAGCCTCCGAAAAGCCATATTCACCTCGGTCGTCCACCATATTTGACTTCCGCACAGGGCTGGTTGAGCTTGATGGTCGAAAATCCATTGCTCTCTCGGTTTTTCATCGTAATTGCTTACTGCTTGGGAAATATGATGTCGAACTGTTTTCTTCATAGCATCTGTCACGTTGTTTAACCAATTTTCTACCTGATAGAGTACATATATAAAAACAAATAAATATATATCATATATATATATGTATGTCTTATAGAAATATGTTCTTTCTATATTACTACCCTATGATAGTAATAATGAGGCTGTTATTATTAATTAATTTGGAACAAAAGGTGAAAAATGAGCCCTAAAGTGTTTTTCGATGTATAAATATGAATATTGTTATGACGATAAGTCAGACAAAAATTACGGAATTCAAGCTTACAGTGTTTTGCACAAGTTATTAGTCGAAGAAGCATGAAGTAAAACAAAAAATATGGACTAAGAATTTATGATAATGAATTCTTCATTAATTTAACACATACAGGTGTTCGTTCTTTGAAATAATAAAATTACGTAATATGGAAAGAAATATTTAATAGAATTACCTTCCCACTACAATCGCACAATCCATGAATCGTCATTTTTTCACCGTCCTTGGCAACCATTACCGTAGCAGTTTTCGTCGGCTTGTCACCATCCATTTTCCATAATAAATTTGCAATAGAATCGTATAATTTTGACAAGTGTTTACAAACTAATTCCGGATTGTTACCTTGGGAAAAATTTATTCATTTATTTGCATGATAAAATCTTTGCAATTGAGATTAAGAAGTGTTTGTAAGAATATCAATGAAATGAGAAATGAAAAAATATCGGTAGTTCTCTAACCATTGCTCAAAATGTCTAAAAGATCAGCCGAAGAAATAAAGTAAAATCTTGGATAAATTAGCCTTTTCGTTTCCAAATAATCCGCCAGAGCTTTCTCGCAGACGTTCAACTGAACCTGTAGTTCTTCCAATTTCTCCAAAAGCTTTGGACGATTAGTCGCTTTTACTATGTTCAAATTGTTCAGCATTTCTCTCAACAGTTCCTTAAAGTCAGTAATCAGCAAATTAATGTTTAATTTCTGGTTATATTTCTGGTTAAAGTTTGAAAATAATATCCATATTTGTACAATAATATTCATGTCAAAAACTTGAAGTATTTTTGATTTTTACTTATATGTATATACCTGGTACACCAAAATCGACAGAGGGAATTCTAAATATAATAAAATAATTCTTTTTTAATTTGTATGATGATTTAGTAAAGAAAATAATCTATCTAAAAACTCTATCTAGAAATATAATTTTGTAAATGATTGAAGATAATATGTACCTATTGTAATTCTATTAAAAAAGGAGACCCTTGAAAATGCATTTAATTAGATTCTTCGAATTTTTATGCTTAATGCATATTTACGGGCCACGATTTCTAAAAAGGTAACATAAATCGGAAGAAATAGAAAGAGTACTTTAAAATCTTTGTCGATTTTTTCAAATCGCTTTGATTCTTCCGGCAGCTGACTCCTAATATCTTCCGAGCCGATAAAAATACTTTCGAGATGCATCCACGCTCTCTGAACTTCGAACCAGGCATTAATAATGGCGTCTGCGTTACTTAATTTCTTTTGCCAGTCCAAAATTTCTTCCAGAAAATATCCTACAAATTTTGAACCCAACATGTTCTGCAGTTGAACCTGTTTCAATTTAATTGGTACGATAATATTATTTTAAGTCAAATACATTGGGTCATTCCATAAATAATCTTTCATTTTAAAAAATAGATAAATAATCTACAGATACCAGAGGAAAGTATATTTTAGATTAAAAAGATATTTGTTTATCTTAAGAATAATAATATAAATAAAATAGGTGCTAAAAATATTTAACAAATATTCTACACTAGTTTTCAATTATTTTTGGTCAGAAGCTGTATATATTTGGTCTATTTTAATATTTCTCTTTTCCTGCTCAAGAGAGAAGGCAAAATTGAAATATTACCTGATTATCTTCAAGAGTTTCTATAGTTTCCTCATCAATTTTTAGAACATTCAATTTCGTACGATCGTGTATTTCCTTGCCAAATTCGAGTGTGCTCCAGGTATCGTGAAGTTCTTTCAAAATTTTTTCCATTGCCATTTCTTTAACTGATTTAGCCACGATGTTTTTTACTTCTTCTTCATATTTATGCAATTCAAGCTTGAGTAAGTCTTCTAACGTGGTATTATCAGTCATGATAAATGTAACCTGCCATTAAATAAAATACCATTTAATTCTTATTTTTACGAAAATTATTAGATAAATGTTATATTAGAATTATCTTAATAATAAAATATATCATACAATTCAGTTCTAATAGATCATTGTGATGCACGATTTTAATCTTGTGTTAATGTAAACCAGAAAATAAGGATTGATGTGATAGTGGATTAATAGAATGTGAATAGAATTTGTATACTTTTATTGTGTAACATTTCATATCTATTCACATCTCTAAATAATTTCAATTATACCACATATACACACTGATTAATTTTAGTTTCCAAGGTATTCAAACACAAAATGATTTCTTTCATTTTTCAGTTTGATTTTAGATTTCGGTTAGCTTCAGATTAGGTTTAGTAAGAGGAAATATAGTTAAGTACATCTCGTATTGAACATTATATACTGTGCTATTAAACAAAAATTGGAAAAATTTCAACTAGTAATAAAAAAATGCCATCTAAAAATGATTTAAAACCTTCTTATCTTGAATTTTTAGAATTCTAAGTTCTACAATTTATACATTTTAAGAAGAATCATAAAATTATAAGATAAACAAAATTATAAATTAGAATTATAAAGTTTTAGAACTCTAAAAATATTTCTTAGGGTGAATTCGATTCTACCTCTTCGTAATTACAACTTTCCAGTCTCGTTTAGTGTTGCAATTATCAAATGTTCACTGTGTATGCTAGGGGTCAGTGCTCTTTACGTGTTTCCATAACGAATAACGCGAAACCTTATATGCTTATCTTACTTGCACCGTTCTCATTGCTATTCTTTAAACACTCGCTTACTCATTCGTTTCACTTTGTCCCATACGCTTCATCTATACCCGTGAACATTTAACGCACAAACATGCGAAAGAACACGAGAGTGCTTACACACTGAACCTCTGAAACAATTCAGGTTTCGTGCCTTGAAGCGGCAATTAAGACCAAGGTCCCTCACAGATCTGTCCCAGTTAAAGAAAATAAAATACAGATGTAAGATTGTACGAAGTTGAACCCGAACATCAATTTTTACACGATTCGGATGATTGTAGGATTTCTCTTTTTATGATTCACTTCTGCCAGCGAAGATTACGAAATTGATCTTCAAAGGAAGAGATATTGTCGATGATTTCAATCGAATTAATGTTATCGGGCATGATTTAATGAAATGGTATGTTATATCGACCGATGTGCAATTTTTTTAATTACTGCTTGCAGTTAAAGGAATTCCTTGAAATCTTATTGACTTCTTTGATTTTCATGTATTCAAAGTCAATATTCTAAATAATTTCACTCGTACTACATGTATGTACTAATTGGCTGTTGTTTTCAAGGTATTCATAAAACAATTTTCTTTTCATTTTTAGTTCGATTTTAAATTTATACTGTACTATTAAACAAAAGATGGAAAAATGTTAAGTACTAGTCAAAACATGCAATCTAAAATTTAGAATTTAGAATTCTAATAATAATAGCAGAATTCAGAATTTAAAAAATTTAAAAATTCTAAGGATAATAGGATTTAGAATTCCAGGAATTTTAGAATTCTAATGATAATAGGATTTAGGATTCTAGGTATTTTAGAATTCTAAAGATAATAGGATTTAGAATTCTAGGAATTGTAGAATTCTAAAGATAATAAGATTTAGAATTCTAGGAATTATAGAGTTCTAATTATAATAATAGAATTCAGAATTCTAGGAATTTCAGATTTCTAAAGATAATAGAATTTAGAATTTTTTATGAAAAAGTAAGAAAGAGTAATTCAGTTTCTGAGCTGAAACGAAAGAAGCCCGACAGCGCCACTTGGCACTTTTCGACCGGGTTATCGCAAGGACCCGTCGCACTCAAATACTGAAATTTTACTTTTCGTATTTATCTTACTGAATGTCAACGCTTTATGTTACATCATTGATTATATTGGAAAGTTCGCGACAGTAGTCGGCAGTCATCACTGTCTGGCGGCTTGGGCAAGTCGAACGTCGGTCATCGATAACCTCCACGACATGCAACGTATTAATTTTGTTTGGACAACTCATAATTCCCAGTGTTTTCAACGGCACAATGGAACCACTATTAATTACACAATTAGTTACCCGGGTTTCTGCCATTAATTCTCTCCAATGTCTGTCTCTAATTGCCGGGTTCTGCAATTCCGAGACTGCTCTTAACGACGCCATCATGTTTCGCACTTGAGCTTCAATGTCCGCGTACAATTTCCAACCGCGTATGTCTTTGTCCAATTCTAAAAAAAGGGGTGTTCGTGAAAGTAATTAATAAAGAGGTTTATGCAAGTTCCCGTATTCAAGGATTGTTTCATACAGGGACGCGCCAAAGTTATTTGCAACTCGGATGCAAACTTGTATATATCTCCACGTTATTAATGATTATACTGCATTGTGCAATTCAAATTAGATATTAGGCGCATAAAATTAATATTAAATATTTGTTGTTTGCAGACCTATGTAATGTTGTTGCCCGGGAGTGGTGCACCCCTTTCACTCTCTGATTGGCGCGGCCCTGGTTTTATAAAAACTAAAACGAGGAAGAAACTTATTTTGTCAATTAAAACATTCTTTAAGATGAAAATAAAGTAGACAAGTTATTAATAGTTGTTACTATAATATAAATGTTTCGTGGTATTCTATAAATGTTCAAGTATCATAAATACATAATGGTATGCGGTCTAATAATTAGTTAACCCTTTATGGTCCGAATTTTTGTTCGTGACTATAAAAAAATGTATACAGTATGAAATAAATAAATATTAACCTATGCCTACAAATCAACAATGTGTTCAACAGTGTTAATAATTTTATTAAAACGAATATATTTTGTAAGTTTGAAACTACAGTGACGTTGAACGTTTAAGTCTGCGTGTATAAAAGTTTAAGTTAATTAATTAGTTAATTTCATTCGTCATTTCGCGATAAAAAATTAAATAAATCGATTTAATCCAGTATATTGATGTGTGACTTCAAATTTACATGGGTCTATAGAGAGTCACTCGATGTAGCATATTAATAAAAATATTTCAGAATAAAATATAAAACAATGACGATAGAAATTCTCACGTCTTAATTCTCTGAGAAGTTTTTTGCACTCTTGATCCATCCATTCGACATCGATCTTTTTCCAAGTGGTCTTTTTCCATTCGTTTAAGCTGGTGCTGATTACATTCACGTAATCCCATAACGTTTTCAGAAATTGCATTTCCCTTTGCACTTGCCGATTTACTTTGAACTCGGGCATTTCTTGTTCAAAAATGACAGTCTGATCTTTCAGATTCTTCTCTTCGCTTAGAAATTTCACAACATCTTTGCGAATTTTATTCAATTTTTCGTAGGGATCGGTACATTCGGGACTAGAAACAATTAACACTATAATTTTAACTGAAAATTATTTTCCAACTTCAATCATTTGTTGTCATTTGACTTTTCGCATTTTGCTGTACCGACTGTAAAATTAATATATAGTACGTCGCATTTAAGTATACATATACGATTATTTTTGTGGACCAACTTATTAGAAAATTAGTATATACTATAAATACATAAAAATATACAAAATTTAATAGTTATCTGTTATGTATTTACCTGAAAACATCGTTTTCATGAAAATTATCAAGAAAACGTTGCTGCTTGAAATCATAGTAGCTCAGTCTTTTTTTTAGAAGTTCGATTTGACGAGTCATTAAAGGCTGAACGACTTGTTTAACTTGAGCTGCTACTTTTTTCAGTGTTTCCCACAGATGAGGCAGTTCTGTCAACCAGTCGAAAATTTTCGGATTTATAACCACTTGGTATTGTTGTAAAAGTTCTATTGTTTTCTAGAAAAAAAAGAAATAAGCAATGAAAAGAAAACGTTTCTCTATAGGTTAAAATGATTGAAATACTTTAAGTATATACTTATATACATAGTAACATTATAATATATCATATTATTATATGTTTACACAGAAGTTAATATATTGAATTTATCAGTGATGTTAATTTTGCATTCACAAATATTATAAAAAAATTAATAATAATTAGTAAATAATAAATAATACTTAAATAATTATTGTTAAAGTTTCTGTCCACACTCCCCGTTGTTATTATCTTCTTATAATATTTATTTCTTATTTTCAATAATAGAACACGTTGAGAATGCTCAGTGGAATAAAAATGAAACACTCTGTACAATCTCTGTCATATTACTAATTATAATTAAATATATTGTTATATAATAATAATTAAAGATTCACTCTGACAACATAAGATGAAGATTCTACAGAGCGTTTCTATTTCTATTTATTTTGGTCGTAAAGCTAAAATAAAATGGAAACCAGGAGTGACGAAATTACCGTGTCGTCTACGTTTTCGAGACGTCTAAAGATCAAAAATATCTCTAAATGATCCAATCATAATGGCATGCGTGAGGTAGGTCAATATGCGCGCCAATAGTGACGTAGGTATTACATAAACCGAGAGACGGAGACAAAGATCTGACTTTCGAGACTCAATTAGCGAATTGTAATCGCTAATACTTTGAATACGAAGTCTCTGCTGAAATTTCTTCACTTTTGAGTATTTTTTTATTTTGGCTTGCGCAGTATCTCCTTAATATTGATTTAACTTCATGGTCGCACATTTGACGCAAGTATTTTTACGGTCCCCCGGCACGTGCCATATAAATCTTAAAATTCGCTGTCACTTCTTGCACAGTTGCCCGTAGAGTAATAATAGTACAGTAATGTATATCTTGATTAACACGTTGACTGTCACAATGGTCATCGACGATCCCCGTGGACATTTACCTTTACCATTATTAGGATTTTCAATAGAAAATATATTAATAACAATAAAGTATATATGTTTAAATAAATACGTTTAAATAAACTAACCCCTCGTAAAAGTAAACAAATTTATTTATAGAAGGATAATATTGAAATGACAATAATGATGAAGGTTGTATAATATTTAAGGAAGGGTAATATTAACGTGCAAATTTTAGCTTTTATCATTATCAGGATCTTCAATAGAAAATATATTATTAGTAATTCAACTTCCAATCGAGAACAATTGCGAGGAGAAAATTGATGTCGAATAAAAATGTTTAGTAATACAAATAGCTAGATAACTGTGATGTCAAATCATTAATAATTATTATCTCTAATATAATTTGTCTTTGTTATGAAATAATAAGTATTATTATACAAAACGCTAAAAATTCTTGTGGCAGTCGACGTGTTAATCAAATCACTATTTTTTGCGATCTAGATTGTTCAAACCGTTAGTTATTCGCAAACTCAATAACTTGTTGCTAAAGCTGCTTTGAAGAATTTCTTGAGTTTAAATTTATCTAGACTGTTAACATATTTATCTAACAATATATTTCAAGGTCATCCGAATCGTTAATGTCAAGAATTACTTAATTATTATCATCATTAATATATCACCTTGATTGGATCAAACATATCTTCTATCTCGAACTGTCGATCTCTTATTTGTTTCAAGTAAGAGATAGTGACTAAAAGCGCGTCGTAATCATCTTCTTGAATGGATTGCGAAAAATTGTCCATCGCTGATGTTAAGAACTCTACCAAGTCTTCCAATCTGAACGAAATTCACGTGAAATTACTGAACTAATTATGTTCACTCGAAACGTATGAAAAATATTAAAATTACAGTTTATATATCTTTATGTGTTTATACATTTTATATTTTCATATTATATATATTAATATTTATATTATTTTATAATTTTAAAATCGATCGTTTGAACGGTTTGAAAATTTTATTGCAAATTCTGCGTTTCCTATCATTTGTTTAACTTCATATCAATTCCTATATTGTTCGACCAATGAATTTTTCAATTTTTGTCTCCGCTTTTATTTCTGTTTCCACTAAGAAACATTTGTCACCTAACTTGTTTACCTTTATTTTATAACATATAACTAAATGATTAGTTACAATAGAGACAGATGCATACAAAGTGTCGGTACGTTTCGTGTTAATCTTTTCTACGTGCACTTGAAAGAGAGATTTCCACCACTACTCAGTTAGAAAACAACGACACAGCACGTGTAACACGTGTAATTAGAAATCATCGGTGAGTTAGTTCGTGACACTTCGACCTTTCGCAGACATTCATTCGAGTCAGTCGATCTCGGGACATCAAACGTTCGCAAATCATTCGCCGGAGAAAATTAGTCGTTCGTGAGTCTTCGAGCATTCATACATTGTTCGGCGAGTACATCGTAAATATTCGTGTGATGCAGTTACATAACGTTCACAAACATCGCTTTCGAAATAGTTATTCATTGTTTGGTTCAAACATTCGTCAAACAGCATTAAACCGTTTCAAACAATTGCAAACACGTTCGAAAACATATGTAAACACATCGTTGGGAGATCTCTAGGCTGAGGAATATGATTGGTCAGTTTTTATCTTTCATCAACCAATTTTCTGTTGATTTTATTTCCTAACTCTTAATATTTTCAATCGCTAACCTGCTATTTGTCGATAACGTTGTACGTAACCAATCAAAAATATGAACAAAAAACTCACAAGAGCTTTTTTTGTCAATAATGATAAGCATATTTGGAAGCATCAAGGAAGATTTAGAATATCTTTTTAATTGAAAAAATAAAATATCAAAGTTTATCATTTATACATGAATTTCTTAAAACAATTTACATAATTTCATATTTTATAGCATTTTTACCATACCCTACTATTTTCAACAATTTTCTGGGTGATATGCAATACTGGCCTTTTTGATGCAAAGCAATAAAATTAAATTTAAAAATTCTGCATTTTTTTGTTCATTAAATTTTATGTCACTTCTTATACTGTCCGATTAATAAATTCTTCAATTTTTATCTTTCTTCTTTTAATGAAAAAGAATTCATTGTCTGATTTATCTTCTACTATTTATTATTCCATTTACCTTTATGTCGCATCCGATCGTTTGACCAGTTACAACATACAATCATCAAAACCATACAATTATTTGAGAAAAATTCAGTGGTACGTAGAATGACAAATATAGTACATGAAATGTTTCCATTAAATTTGTATTCTTTTTCATAACTTGCGCTCTACAACGCGGACACGTAAAGAATGTTTAATCTTTTCCATATATGTAAGTGTCTCTAAATGTTTCCGGCTTTAAGCTGTCTCTCCAAAGAAATTTGCATGGTTCGGCTTTAATTCAATCGTGTAAGTACTTTGCAAAGTTGATCATGCACGGTGTTCTCGTAAATCGTGACTGAACTATCCGTATTGTTTGCAAAATACGTAAGATAGGCTGTTACGTTCTTGGAATAACAATTCGTGATCGAACACCAGTTTTGCCTATTTGATTACACAATTCTACACGGGAGGAGTGCCAACAGGGATTGTCGTGATAGTAATTTCAGTGAAATCTACTCGAGGCCAAAGGTCAGTATTTGATTCCGATGCAAGACTTTTTACACGAGACTTTTAAAATTATTTAGACATGCAGATTTTCGTGTCCTTGCGTGTTATATTATTTCAGTAAACATCAAAACACATTCAAGTTGTAATTTTAGATTAGTTACTAATTTTGTTCTTCATTTTATAAATGCAATTCATATTTTCTTCATATGATAGTATCATTTATAGACCTTTAGGTGGAGATATTTAAATATATAAATATTATGTAAAATATTGTATAATATCATATGTACGTAAGTTTCTGTAAAAATAAATAGTTTTTACAAATTTAAATATCTGTTAAGTGCAAATATTAATTTTGCAGCGTTATATTTAATCAACTGCATATTCATTTTAAATTTAAGTGTTTTCCCACCAATCCTCAAAGGACTAACCCTTTGCACTCGGAAGTTTTTCACTAGAAATATTTCAACATCTTGTGATGAGATAAAAATGATATTTCGTGAAAATAAGTCAAAGAGAAATCACAAGTATATTGAGGAACAAAGATAAATTGATGTATTATATAAGGTATAATATTAAAAATCAAATATTATAGTTTTACCGTATGACATCAAGTGGTGAGTGAGAGTCACCTTTCGAGTGCAAAAGGTTAAATAATGATTTTTATATATCGAAACGCTTGTTATAAGATTTGTTAAGAGTAATCATTTTCCACAATAGTTTCTTTCTAATTATATTCGTAAAAATTAGAATTTGCCTAAATATCCGTTGTCTAATGATGATATAGCACTTACTGAGTGGTGATACGGTTGAGCAAATACTCCTTGAGAATGTTAGCCCACTTGCAAATGAGATTTAAAAGGGACTGCTTGAACGGTTTGATATCCAGTCTCAGCCATTGGCAAGCGATATGTTCATTCGGCATTTGATCGCATTTATGATACAGATCCATGAAATAATCAATTTCCTGTTTGAAATCCGACAGATCCGGCTTCTTCGGTTTCAAATTTTCGGGGACGTAATCTGAATGTTCTGCGAGCATCTCTCTATCCTCGATTGATACGTATTGGCCGTATTGAAGAAAATAGTCTAAATATTCCTGTTTGTCGTCTAGCCACAACCAACTGAACACCTCGTATATCTGGAAACGATTAACACGTTAAGCGCCACGAAAATCTTGGCCGTTTCTTTGTAAAGTTATTCTTTTGTAGCAGAGAAGAGTAGAGATAATTATTAATTATTTGGCGTTGCAATCCTTGCAGTGCGCTATTATCAACATCGTTACGTTATTAAACATCTTCATTCGACATCGGTCATCTAGCATATTACGATTGTTTAAAAGTAACTCAGAATCAATCATCGATGACTGACAAGACGCTTAATGTGTTAATGAATTATTTCCCAATATTTACTTATGCTTTGCCTACATTTATTTATATTTACCTACACTGCGCAACAGTAATTAAAATCATGAATTTATCCCACCTGAGCGTGTTCTTTGATATCTGCTAGAGCGAGTTTCACTCTGTTGCAAGTCTCTTCTAACATAAAGACAATACCATCTTCTTCTGTCAGGTCAACCTGCGAAGGCAGAGATCCACTAAAAATTCGAATCAATTGAAAGAATTGTTATTTAAGACAATCGTGAGATAAGAAAACTGAAGATTTTCTAGTGTTGAACGTATAAAAACATATCCCGACATGAATCTGTTAATCCTTTGCACACGAGGATACTTTCCTTAACAAATACTCATTATTTTATGATGAATTATAGATGATATTTTTATAACATGAAGACATATCTTGGATGAATTAAGGGACATAACTATTTTATTTCGATGCTCTATGTATTGATACATTAGATAAAATGTAATATTAAATTTTAAATTTTATAATTTGGATTAAATCGAATGGCGACTGAAAGACGCCTCTCGAGTGTAAAGGATTAAAGGATGTTTCATGGCAGTAAAGTTCAACTATTTATCTATCTATTATAAATCTATTTTATTTATATTCAGTATAATTTATCAATGTAAATAAGCAAACAAGAACAGCGTGGAATAAAAATCGAATCAAATTTTCCTCTGAAATTTGAATTGAAGATATTCAAAAGAGCATAAGATTTGAAATGGTGTACCATGTAATGCTCTTGTTCTTCGGCAATTTGAGGATCGACGCGAGGAATCAGTGTACCCATCTTTATCATGTCAAGTAAAAGCGCTTCGAAGAAGCTGTAGAATCCTTCGGGATTGTCAATTTCCAGTGGCGGTCGAAAGCTGATACGAGGGTTCTATCGATATACGAAATCAACGAAATAATTAAAAGAAGTTGAACTTCGTAATAATAAATATAAATTATATAACAATAATAATTTTTAAATATCGATGAAGTACGTACCTCTAAATACAATTGTATCTCGAATAAAGGATACATGTTGCCTTCGGGATCAGTTTCATCCAGTATATAGCAAATACTGCGAAACGGTAAAAAATTAATTGTTCAAAATTACACATTCATGGTTTAATTCAGTTTTATTTGTCAAATATGAATATTTTTATGAGCTTTGAAAGAAACGATAATTGGATGAAGCAGAAATTTTGACATAATTCAATATTTAATATGACTATTAAATAATTAATAAACATTTTACTGCTTTGCTCTATTTTGCATAATTTCAAAATATGTATGACATTTTACAATAGTAATACAACTCAGATTAATATTACTATTAAAACACAATAAGATTATTCTTGTTTAACTGTTGATTAAATATTAATGTATCACAGATTTATTTTTAAATCTAAATATATATTTTCGTGATACAATACAAGTAAAAATTTTCATCAATTTTCAAACCGAAAATTTTTTATTTTATAATACATGTACTGAAATGGTAATCTGATGTGCGATTATAAAGGATAAACAACTAAAAATTCTCGTAAATTAGAGGAACTAAACAAGGTATCTACGTACCTTGTGGATACAGCTTGAATGAGACCTTTCGAAATTAAATTGTCAACGTAGGTGAGATAAGGCTGCCATTTTTCACGTCGAAGTGCTTGCGTTTCTTCATCAACTTCTTCTTCCTCTACCATTTCCTCCTGTTCTCCTGGTGATTGCTCTTCCACCTCCTCCACTGCACTAAAATTGTTAAATAATTTTATATATTTCTTAAATGTAATCTAATAGGGAATTATATTTCAAGAGTAGTAATTATATCCAAATTATTACATTATTTGATTGAACGCCAGTGGACTCCTTTTTCAATTGGATATTTAATGAATACAAATTTTTAATATATATTTTTAATATATAGTTATAAACTACAAGTTGTTCATATATAAGATATCCACATTAAATTATATGTAGATTATTTTTTTCAGTTTTTTTAAAAACTAGACTTTGATAATAATGTAACACTGATAATTATGATTATTTGAACCACTTGAAATATTCAAAAGATAAATTGTTGTGTTTGGAAAATAAAATTATTTCAAATGTATATTTAAGTATTGCATTCAAATTTCGAGGTATGTAGGTGTTAATAAATTTTTTGACTATAGTTACATTTTACATTTTTTCTCACATTACCTTGACATTTCTTGTACAACTTCTTCTAAAATTTCTGATTCTTCTAGTAGGTAATCTGCCATTAGGAAAAAGTACAAGTTTATACAAAGCATTCTACGTATACAGAATTAAACTTGTCAATCACATTTAAATATGAATTATCAAAATATTTTTACGAACCATTAAGTTATAGACTTAAAATTTTGTAATAATGTTTTATGATAATTTTGCAATAAAATTATAATAATTTGCAATCACCATCCTGAAACTCTGCCTCGTCCTTCTCATAAAAATTCTCTGGCAATAGATCAAAATATAACTTGTAATTTTCTTCTAACACTCGTTTCAGTTCTTCGGCAGTTTCTTTGATTTCTGTGTATCTCTCTTCAAATTTATCATCTTTGTCTGTGATTGACAATAAATTTTCATCCCTCGCGTCCTTGCGATACAGAACCGGCATCATTGCCCAGGTATACAATCTGTCCATAATATTCTTCAAGTTCTCCTGTGCTCGAAACACTCGTACATGCAATTTCCGAACCATCGACAGCAAATTATCTATGTATTCCGGTACCTCTAAAAGACGTTTGATTGTCAGAAATCAAATGTTAACAAGAGTGAACTACTGTAGAACTTTCACAAGAGAAGAAAAAAATTTGGAAATTCATTTAGACTAATATTACCTATGTAAAATATATAAATTATAGAGGAGAGAATATGAATATAGGATACTCATTTTATTTGTTAGTATAGGGAGCCACAGAATAGTCATAAATAAAAAAAAATGAAACAGAGAAGCTCGAAGAATTTTAGAAGGAATGTACTGCTTAATCGTCAATTTTGTGAATGTTACGAAACTTTTGAGTTTCTTAGGTTTTCTAAAAATTCCAAAATTAGAATGGTAGAAATAGGAGTAGTAGTATGAGACAGCAATAATCTCAGAATATTGAATAACTAATATTAAAATATTTATATTCATAGTTAACATAAAATTTATTGTTAAATATTATAATATCGTTATGTTATAATATTATGTATTAAACTATCCAACAGATTTTAATTGATTAATGAGTAGCACTGTTAGTTGCTCAATATTTTTCTATTTCCATACCATTGGATTTCCAATTATAATTTTCTTGGCCATAATCAATGAATTTGTCAATTTCTTCGATTTCTTCTTGTACCAATTGAAATTCTACAGGAACACTTTCACTTCGTATTTTGTTGTACCTAATAGAACATTCATTAGAAAACAATTTTCCAATAACTAAACGAATGTACAATATTTTTACAAATGTATTGTAATTACCAAGCAGAGTCAATTATAAATGTTTGAAACCACTTCATATTAAATCATTACTAATAATAAAAATTCATAATTTAGGTGTTATAAATCTTATAAAACAAAATGATATTATCTGGAATATTTATAATTTTGATAAAAAGTATATTACATACATCCCCATTTCACTTACCAATTTACAATTAAATTGAGATTGTAAGTGCTCTTGAAGTAGAACTCCGACCCGTTATAAAAATTAATCGCCTCTTCTGACAGATCGGTCCTCTTCATTATAATCATATAACGAATTTCCCTCAACAAAGTAGTTAGTTCAGGATCGAAATTCATTTCCAGTTGTCTATCGTGTCCAACTCTTAACAATGGTTTGGACAAATATGTCTCCGTAATATCTGGGACTGTTTCTGCCCACGCATTGTAAATCTGCTGCTCCTTTTGACTGATGAGCGACTTGGGAAATTAAAAAAAATGATATATTTAATGATTATCGTATTACATTATTTACAACGTTTTTATCATTAATCCACGTCGTTATCCACAACATGTAAGTTTGAAACTACATCTTGTTGTCTTCAAATAAATCGTGCAGATCGTTATACAATCGATTAATGAATCTTTAAAAAATATATACGTAATGAAGAAAAAAGAAGTAAATATAAGTCAGTATTGTGATTTTGAGAAGTATCAAAAAGATTTGTTTTAAATATTAATTCTCTTTGCTGTCCGATAAAAATGGAAAACATGTCGAACATCAACATATTGGTAGTTCTATTGTTAACAGACATATAGAGAAAGTTTACCCGCATCATTATACTAATGTCAATCTGCATATTCATTGATATATCATTAATAGCATATTGAAGCCTCTAGTAACCCAAATAATAAAGAAATAAAGGAGTCTAGATGAAGGAATTTTCGAATAATAGAAGCAATTGCGTTGCTAATGTTAAATTTAATTTCTTTAAATACCGAGAACTGATAGCTTCTTTAAATATTTAAGACTTTTATATTTTTTGCCTAGTAAGTTATATTAATTTCTAAAAGTACATTAGCTGTATCCTGTTTCGTACTAATAATCGTCACGACTAAGGTCAAATTAAGTATTGTTATAAGAAATTTTGTTCGTATAATGTAATTTTCAGATATTTGTCTTCGAATATTTGAAAAAATTTGAATTATTAAAATTTTTAACTATTTTTATCTATTTTAGAGTTACTTCAGTTGTAGACTGTAGCCATTGTGGGTCTTGCTTACAGAATCATCCTATATTTTATCGGTATATTTAGAGTTTCATTAGTAATTACTTCGAGTTCTTGATATTTGCTCTTGAGCTCACTCTCCATTTTCGCTGTGATTAGGGGATGATCGCACAATTTTGCACATTCAATTGGAAAATGATATCTTTCACGTAACTTCATTAACAAGCACAAAGCACCAGCTACTGGTGGGAAATACTGGTTGACAGCTATACGTAGTGCTCGTTGGTCTCTCTTCACAAAATTTTCATCGAACAATATCTGCGTAATGATAGATTGTTTTTACAACGTTGAAAATAAGGACATTGACAATCGTTTTTATAGAGGATTAAATGAAACAAAAGTACAGGCAACAGTACCGAAAAGTACAATTACCAATATTTTTGAAAATAGTGAACTATATTACAACTCATTACACAATCACCGGATGATCGAATAGTCATTATTCTACGGAAATTAATGTACTTATATATATGCAAAAATTTTTAGACAAATGATACGTCGCAAACTTTAATCAGATCCAAAAAGTGTCTAAAAGAATATTTTTTAAATACGAAACTTATGAATAAATCTATAAATTGATCTAACAAATGTTGTGCAGGTAAGTAAGTAGTCATTATGTCGATCAGTATCATCAAAAACACAAAATTATTTTATAATTTACGAAAAGTAAATTGTCTTTAAGTTAGACTTATTAATAAATAATAGATGTTATTACCTTTACGTTGCTGAAATGTCTATCCATTCTTTCAACCACGTTTTCATAATTATCCCACAACTGAGACATAATTACAGGTCTATTCGCAATGGAACCCAACATCCAGATAATTTTAAAAGCCGATTCTAGATTGTGACACTCTGCAAATGCTTGTTCAAAAATACTTGCTAAACGTCGATCAAATTCTTCCACCTTTTACACGAAAGATAGCTTCCTATTATTTGGTTAAGCCCTTCATTGTTAAAAAATATTCATTTCTATATTAAAAATAAGTTACTTTGACGAAGAATTTTTCTAAGTCTCTAGTAAACTGAGTTTCATCAGGTGACAGAGCTTCGTAAGTCACGTCCCCAAAAGACTGATATAATTTCATAAATTCTTCGTAAATTTCGATGATCATATTAAGTAGTGATCTTGCTTTTAAACCCGCCATTTCTATTCTTTCTAATTTCAAGTAGTCCAGAACAACGTCAAATAACGACTGCGAACGGAATATGAAAGTGGTGTAATACGTGTAACGAATATAGGAAGACATTTTTTAATAGATATCAATTTCAGAGCACACGAGAAATAAATTACGTCCATTAATCTGTACTTCAGTTTATATAGTTTTTTGAAGAAATATGTAGAAGAAAATTACTTTGAAAATGTAATGTTAAAAATATTATATGTATTTGAACATACAAAAACTACTATAAATATTTTTAACCCTTTGCAGTCGAGAATATTTTTCTCAAGAAATATTCATTATTTTCTGATGAAATATCGATGATATTTTTTACAACTAACATAAAGAAATACCTTGCATAAACTAAGTGACAGAAGACTCAGAAGACAGAAGCACTCGAGTGCAAAGGGTTAATATAAGAAAAGTATTATAAATATTTTTAATGTACAAGGTGAACATGAAAAAGGGTTTACAATTTCTAGGATAAGTAGTACCTGACAAGTGGTTAAAAATAAGCCTAGCGTTTAAAAACCAGTAAAAGTAAAATGACATATAATACGATGCTACCAAACCTGGATTTCTTTAAGTCTTTTTTCAAACTTCTGTATCCTATCGAAAACTAATTTTTCGTGGAATGCCCACGGTACAGGTTCCACGGGTCCCTTAAAATAATTTTCAATTTTTTCCTTAAACATCCGAAATGTGTCTTGATAAAAATCAAGGAGGGGTATCACTTCCGATATTTTTGCTTTGTTCTCCTCAATGTCACCCTCGAATAAAGTTGACGGATTTATATACTTCACTGACTGCAGAAAACATTTAAGATGGTACCATTTCGTCTGAACAAATCTTTTAAAATTTCGTCTTCGTCTTTACTTTAAGTATGGATAAAAATAATTTTAATAGAGTATTATTATGATCTACAAAAATAATTCTTTAGTTGTATAATATTTTATTATGAAAAAAAGTATGCGTATAGATACATATTTGCATCATCCAAAAAATTGTACAATTCTTTTACTTAAAAATGGTTTAAATGATAAATTATTTAATTTTATATTCGTTTCAAATGAAATTTATCGAAACTTGTGAAAAAATGTATTCACAAATAACACGTTTACAACTAATTATTCTTAAATTAAAACGGTGCAGAAGATAAAATGTAACTTGTACAAATAGGAAAATTAAACGTTGCATTCAAAATTTGAAATACATCGTTTTCATCTGCTCAAATGGTAAAAGTCTAGATAAAATTGCAGCATTGCAGCCGTGAATGAATACAACCTGTTATGAAAAAGTTGCTTGCATTACAGAAACCGAGCACGTTTACTTTCGTGAAGTCGGAGGGATACTTTGCATGGGTAATGGAACCAGTTGCACTTTAATCGCTGAGGAAATTATTTGCACTCTAAACAACTTTTCACGCGGGTTGCATATAATTTCATAAAGTGTCGTTTCTATGCATACTCATATTTAACATTTAAAGTGAATATACAGGGTTATCCACTTAACTTGATGGTTTACCTATCGAAAACATGAAGAGATTTACTATCAACTTTTCATACAAATTTTCAGAATGCATTTTTAGAGATTCAACGAGACTTTTATTATTCCTTTTGAATAAGAAAACGAATTTATTCAACAGCTTCTCAATGAAAATACTCTGACGAGTAATTTTGAGTTAGTTCCAGAGATTTTATCTCGATAATAGGTTCCATTTGTATTTGATGATACAGTAAAAGTGTCACGAGAAAACGTGAATCGAGTAAGAGCTTTTCTCGTAATTACAGTTTTTAAGAGTTCCAAGTCATTGACAACTTTCTTTGAAATAGAACGCTATGATACTGAATGTATTAATCGACACAGCTGTAGCTTAGTCATAATTCTAGATGACATTTATAGGCAGTAAAACATAGGATGACATAATTGATACTTAAAACAGTAGTAAATTAGTGATACAGTAGTAGTAAACTGGCAATGAAGAAATAGTACCATTTTTTCACACTAATCTTGTTTAATGTAAAATCTCTGTTACCCTGATTTCACAACACATTGCTTGCATTAAAAATCGCGTACCTGAGATATCAGCAAATTTGAAATTTCTCGTAGCAGGGCGATCATTCTTTCCAGAGTGTAATATTTTGAGTTCGACCACATTAAGCAAGCACAATGCAGTAAAGATTTCAATTTTATTCCTAGATCTTTGAATTCAGAACTCTCGATTTCTCGGAAATAGAACTCCAGTGGTTTCAAGTACAAATTTATGTCTCTGGTTTCGAGTAACGCTACATTGGAAAAGAATGATTCAATGAAATACAATAAACATTCGAAAAATTGTCGTAATTTAACCATTTTTTTGTGGCTTTTAGAGGAAGCAAAATACAATCAGTATTCTATAAATAACATTTATAACAAGATATAATCAATACTATGTAAATATTATTTATCTACCGTGTTATAAAAATCTAATTTAATATTTTACATTGATTTTACGACTTCCAGAACTTTGTATCCTGAGAGCAATTAATCTTCTTTTTTAAAATAACAATACTGTTAGAAAATAATGACGTACATGCAGCTACATTTTTTATTAAATTCTTGAAATATTCCGCGTAAGGACTTTCCATTTGTTCCAAAAAGATGCCCATGCTGACTACTCTCGGATCTTTCAACTGTCGGTAAAGTGACTCCATGTTTTTTAGCCTCATGTTCCAATAATTTAACTCTAAAACGATCGATTGATTAATGCAATAAAAATAATTGAAAATAATTTCGAATAATTCAAGCAAATCCAAGATATTAGAAATTAGGTACAAAACCGATTAAATACTTGCACGTGTATATACGGTGATTCCGATCTAGTGGTACAAGTGGAAAAATTAATAAATAAAAACAATAACATTTTTTCGTTTAATACTTGAAAACATCGAATTTGAAAATTATGTAAGATATCGTAATACTGAATGTCAATGTGAAAATTATAAAACTTGTCCTAATATTAAGTATCAATTTGAAAATTACACAAGGTGTCCTAATATTAAATATCAAAGCAATATTTGCATTAAACAACTATCTACATCTCCAAATAAATGTGAATGAATAATTAAAAATACGAAAATAGATTTTTCCTTTTTTCCTTTTTAAAGGATATTTTTGCCGTGTTATTAAAAATTCAGTACCTTATTCTTGGACATAATTATGCCAACATAGCACTATGTGGGTGGATGAAATATGATTTACGCTGGCACTGATGTTGAGGCAATCATTTCAAAGAACCATTACAGCGAACGTGGTACGGGTCATATAATTTAACGTAAATAGTATCATTCTACATGGCCATGTGAAAGTTTCGAAGTCATATTTAGGTGCTTTTTTAAACAGTCTAAATAAATCTTTTATGCTAGCACACTACGAACTGGTAAATTTTGAAAAATTTATAGACAGAAATGTATACACGAATTCTAGAAGCTGTTAAACAAAGTAATGATGGTGAAGGTTTTAAACATAATTGAAGAAACATGAATATTACTCGATTCTTTTGAATTCAAATGAAATATCATTCTTCTGTTATTAACTATTATATTTTGGAGGAAAATTGGATATAGAATGTATCTAGATTCTTTATCTTTGTTCACTAAATTATTAATGACAAAGTAAGTGGATTGATCATAGTTGAGAAATCATAGGATATGGGGTGAAGCTTATCTATTTCTCAAAGATATATAGACATTCATTTATGTCATAAAAATGGAACCAAATTATGAAGAGTAATGACGCATATTTTGAGAGTTAAAAGGTTGTACAAGTGTCTGTAAATAAATTGGAAATTTAATTAAAAAACGTATACTTTGTTTCTAGATGTGGTAACTGATTTTAAAAATACTAGGGCTCACGAAATTACCAGACTGTTCTGGCACGGGTGATCCATTCTTCTTTGTGAACTCTTCGTTTAAAATCTCATTAATTTGAGTTGCCCATTTTATTACGATTTTTTCTATATTACTCTTTAATTCTAGAGTTTTAGCATCAATCGGAGATAAATGCTCCCGTTCGAGAATATCTTGGATATCCATTGGCATCGGAAGCAACGTTTGACCTGTTATCTTCCCCTTGACCTAATCATTTATTTTTCCAATCGTAGAAAAATCATTGTCTTGCTAATATCAGTGTTTTGTGAGAAAATGTAAAAAATATAAAACTATCTTTAATATTATAACTTTAAGGAAATTTTAAATTGCAAATCATAATTATTTCCACGACTTCGATATAATTTGTATTGGACTCGATTCATAAACAATTTTATTTACTTTAATTATAATGAAGTATAAGTCCATTTTTTCCTTTGTTATAGGATTATTGAAACACTGAAGTAATTATTAATACCATACTCTTTTACCTGCCAGATTATACTTCGTAAATTATATATTTGCTGTTTTACGTCTGCTCGTGCGACTTCCGGCCAGCCAACGTGATTTCTTGGATTAGATAGAATGGGAACGTATGCCTAGAAATAATAATGAATCTAAAATAGAAAGGTTTCTTAAATAGAACATTTTCTATTTGAAAGAATGACAATAAATCTAGAATTTTAATGGAATTAAAAACGTTTTAACTCTCAGAGGACTCATATGAATGATACTTTTTTCACGTGAAATTTCATTTCCAAATAAATCAATTTTAAAGCGCGCTAACGAACACTTTTGGAGGGCAAAGGGTTAAAGGTTGTTCAACTACTTTGGAGAAACTCTGGATAACTTTGGAATAAATAAATATAATGTACATTCTAACTGTACCTTGGAGCAGTTGTTATGACAACGCATTAAGAATTCCACATTTTAAGAGGAATTTTATGTAGACAGTGAAATAAAAGTCTTTTCTTCAGGTTAATTACTAGAATTTATATCCTAGGTGTCTTTTTATGAAACTATTTTTATACTTTCTTGTCTGTTTATTTAACACACATTTTGCTCTCGATTTAGAGAACCTCACGGTAACTGATCCTTCGTGAACAATTACAATTTGTAGGAAATAAGAGTATTGTCATAATAAGGTTAACAATAAATACTTTAACCCTCTATAGACTCGTGTGACTTTGAAGTCACATACCAATATACTGGCATCTTGTTCATTTATTTGATTTACATAGCAAACTAGCGAGTAAAATTAAGGAATTAATTAACTTAAACTTTTATACGTTCAGACGTGAAAGTTCAATGTCACTGTAATTTCAAACTTACAAAATATATTCGTTTTAATACAATTATTAAAACTATTGAATACATTGTTAATTTGTATTAATAGGTTGACACTTATTAGTTTTATACTACATACACTTTTTATAATCACGAAAATAAATTCGACCTATAGAGGGTTAAGTAAAAAATAGGAACTAACATCCTCGACAAGAACGGCTAACTCCTCGATCGGATTCGGCGCCATGTCACCCGGTATCAGCAAGTCCTTGTAATTAGCCTCGGTGACTAGTTGGGGTCGCCTCTTCAAGAAGTACGTCTGCTTTCTCTTAGATTGCGTTATTTCTAGATAAGGCACCAAGAGACCAGCTGGTGTCAATTGCAAAACAAGGATCATCTCGGATGGTGTACCAAAAAACTTGGTAATAAGATCCTAAGCGTAGAGGTCAATTAATTCCGGAATTCCTGCTTAATTAAGGACATTTTTATAATTTTAACCCTTTGCACTCCAAGAGTTTCCTAGCGAAAACGCCCAACACACTTTCCAATGAAATATAGTCAACATTTCTTGAAACTACTTAATGAGAAATTGTGCGTAAATTAAAGAAAGAGACTGTTTTATTTTAATACTTCACTATTAACGCATCACACGAAACTTAACAATTAAATATTATACTTCATAATTTTGCTGTATCAAATCGTGTGACAACTGAGAGGCGCCTATGGAGTGTAAAGGGTTAACAGTATTCGAAAAAATTCACGTCTTATGTAAATATTACTTCTAATGACAAAGTATTGAGTTTCGTTATAAAGTTGAATTAATTCGTTATATGTGATTTGTTGGAGAAATATAGCTATATTTAAAAATTAAATTACGACATTGATAGAATAAAATAATGTTACACAGGGAATGTTTATAACCTATGATAATGTTTCTACGAGTGGAACGAATATAGCACTTACCTTAAAATCAACGTTTGATATCATTTTTGTCCATCTGTCAGCCTTCAATTTCCTCGTATACGTAAGGTAAGTATAAATATATTCGAACCGTTCATCTTCTTCCTTTTTCTCTTCTTTATCAACCATTTTTATTGTATCGTTATTGTACCTTATTCTTTATTATGCTACTTAATTCTAGTATTTGAAATTGACCTTCATTATGGACAGATCATTATCAAATGCTTTCATACTGTACATTTACAGAAAAGATGACGATACGATGCAAAGAAATGCAGATAAATTCAAAGACGTCTTAAACTCGACGTTTATCGAATGTAAAAAAAAATTTTCCATGCAATACATAGTATAGCATATAGTATAGTATAGAGTATAGCATATAGTATAGCATATAGTATAGTATATAGTATAGTATATAGTATAGTATATAGTATAGTATATAGTATAGTATATAGTATAGTATATAGTATATTATATAATATAGTACATAGTTTATAGTATAATTTATAGTATATTATATAGTATAGTACATAGTTTATAATATAGTTTATAGTATATTATATAGTATAGTATATAGTTTATAATATAACTTACAGTATAGTTTATAGTATAGTTTATAGTATAGTTTATAGTATAATTTATAGTAAAAATAATATATAATATAAAGTACTATAAAAACAGCTTGGTGTTGCTGGTAGGTTACAAAATTAGCAGCAGTGTTAAGAGTTAAACCTTGTGACACCATTGTGTCATGTACAATTCCAAAAACCAAATGAAACTTAATTTACCTTGAATTTAAAAATCAATTATTCAAGTGACCGCAGACGGTACACCGACCAAACTGATAAAGGAGTGCATTTTCTTGTTTCCCTACATTTCGATGCCCAACGCAATCAGTCGCATGTGGCCCGCACACGTCGACGCGACGGCACGCAGTGTGGAAAGCGGACAGGTAAATAATACAGCTATTTGTACCCGGTGCATGACACGCGACATGCGGTACATAGCGTGGAAAGCGATCGCGTAGTTAAATCAATTCAAAATGCATCGAATACATTAGGACGTTTTGCGCGCCACATGCAAAGCGGTCGTGTAAATTTCAGACCTATTTTCGCTTATTCTGACCTTTTTTGGCGATGTCGCATGCCAACGCATCGTATGACTGATATAACCTCAAGCTTAACCCTTTTCCATACAATTTAGTCATGAAAAATTGTGCATGATAGAAGTATTTTATTTGTATTAAAGGAAACAACGTGTTTCATTTTATGATTCACACATTTTGTTAATCAAAAGAATACTAATTAAAAGTAATCTGGCACAGTTACTACTAACTAGTATGCCAATTTATTCTCAATTGGGAACTCTCGCGATTAGCAGCACATATTTATGACGCTCGACAATTTGCATCTCGCGTACAGGAAACCAAACTATGGTAAAAGGAAGTATATTTTAAATGAGTTTTATTTAATTAACTGATTCTTGTAACTAGATAATATTAATTTAATAAATTGTGCCTAAAAAAAATATTTTCATCGAAATAAGCATGATTTTTAATGAGATTGTTAACTCGGTTTTCAACTTCGGAACAATGTGGCAACATTCGTTAATTCAACAGTAGTTTCATATAGCGTCTCGTTAATATATTTGAAAACATTTTATAAGCATTGAAATTGTACTTATTAGTATGTAAGTGATGTGATGGATGTATTATAATGAATAAATATAATGAAATTTGATAAAATATATAGCAGTTGTACAGTAATGTACTACTTCGAAATAGAACTACAATTATTAATTGAATTAAGGTACAAAAATATTTTTGTTTAAAAAAAGGATACAAGTATAATTAAAATTACTTATATTTATATTTATTCGTTCTTTGGTACATATGTTTTTAAATTTGTCAAGTGTTGCCAGATACAAGATGTATTATATTACACGTAGACGTCTATCATATAGGTGACTTATCCATTTATGCAAAGCAGAGACTACGTGAAAGGTCCTGGCACAAACTAATTAATGCCTCACTATCATTACGTAATGATACGCATTTGGGCATCGAAATTTTACCTCAAATTTGCATTTTAACCTTGAAATTTAAATTAGATCTTGGAACTGATACTTGACCTTCGAATCATAATAATGACTTTTCAATTTATATGTCAACGTTTGGAATTCAGTTTAAATTGATATATCGGAGGCGAGAATTTAATAAGCACTAGTATATTATCGTTGAACATTCTTCGTTATGTTTGCTACATCTGTTGTGCGCAAAAAAGGTAAACATGACATAATAGCACATAACTACGTGAAACAAATCACCACATTATGCGATAGAGTTAAATAATCGAAAATTAAGTAATCATTGCTCTCCCACACAGTTGGAATGGCGCTAAAATGCTCGACATAGTCAGCATACTGATACTTTCTCTCTACAACAAAGACTACTCAGCTCGTTCGAGAGTTCTCATTTGTAAACGCATTTACAACGGTACGCTAAAATGTCTACACTTCCGTGCGGCTACGAAACTACAGTGGAATAAAGAATCTAACGAAGTGGTGGACGTTAAATTATGCAAGAGCTTAGTTGGTTTCTTAACAGATTAGAATTGTAGATTATACAAAGCAATTCGTATCAATCGAACAAGGAAGGAGGATAATAGGAAATGGTGAAAATGGCACTTCCGACAATCGAATCACTTATAGGAAATGATTCTGTAATAATGAAATATAATTTAAAATAAATATATATCACAGTTGCATAATATCTTTATCTTTGAACATATATAATTATGTATCAAAGTATATAACGAGAAAATTTGGAAGAATCATTCAATCTGTAATATCAATAAATACGTAAAAGATTAATATTGTATTTGAATTTTAAAAAAATTGAGTAATATTTATGCTTGATAAATTTTGTTTAAAATCTTCACAAGTCTGACACTTTATTATAAGGCAAGAGGTTAAGAGTAATATTCCTTCTTAAAGATACAATACGTTGAAGTACGATGAAAATTAAATTTTTCAACACGTTCACTGCCATGATGGTCACCGATAACTGAAGCTTCCAAATTACTTGACAACAATTGAAGCTATGAATCCCAAAATAGCACAAGTCGACGAATCAATATTTCGAGAAAATCGAAATTCTTTAATCAAATTCTTTGTTTTCATTTTTTTTTGTTGATTCGTGTACGTTTTTGATATTATTAAATACGATTGCATAACATTTTGGAATTCACGACTTCAATTATAATTTGTCAGAGAACTAATGTCAAATGAAAATGTTCAATAATATAAATAACAAGAAAACAGTGTCGTAAAAATTGCGATACCAAATAATAAGTAACCGTTTCCTTTTCGTCTATGCTGCAAAAGAATGAACGATACACGAAACTCTAAAGTTTTCCGTGGCAGTCAACGTGTTAAACGGCCTCCGAGAGAGTAAAATGTATAATGGCCAGTTAAAACTACTTCATCTTTAAGAGCCAGGTAATGTATAATCAACAACCTGAAATGCGATTCGAAAGTTATGAAAAACGACTGTCAGTGATCGAAGACATGCAACCGTTGCGTTTCATCCTCGTATATCTTAAAGAACGCTCCACCTTCTCAATAATTATAAAACGTACTGACAGAAAAATTAGTTAACTCTTTCAATCGTTTATGGCGAATGTATTTATCATGAGAAGGTGCCAATTTTTTGTTTAATAACGAGTATACTTTTTACGGAGAAAACAATTTGTTATTGCCATTTAAAGTAAGATTTAGGAGAAGCAAGAAAGACATTCATGATTTTAATACACTTTAAAATAATAATAAACCAAAGATTATTAAGCGAAACACAATAATCAAGGAACAATGAGATAGAATTGGAATATAAAATGACATATCTAATCGTTCCCTTCGGTAACTTTTATTAAACAATGTCATTCTATTTTCAAAGTGAAATAAAACCCTGAAAGGTTTAAAAGTCGATGCGAAGTAAAATCGAAGGAGATTTCATATACGCTGTTATTTACCATTAATATATTTTTGTCTTTTAATATATCAAGTATCATACATGAATCTTTTTCAAATGGTTCAAATACAGTTTTTAACATATTTAACCTCTCCCTGTTTCTCAACAAAAAGTTACGTGTGTCACATAGTACGCACAAATGTAAACGCCAAGTTATTGCGCTATAAAAATGAATGTTTTCTCCTTGAAATTCATACAATAAACGTATGCACTTATGCATGGCGATCAACGAATCGTACACGTGAAACTTTCCTTGTATTACTTAAATAAATATGTTTAATAGCTAATATTCTTTATGAACTCCATACACATAATCCTGTTTTTTTATGGGGAACTAACAAGAGATTTGTTACCGATTCAAATATGAATAAATTATACACCGTGTAAGAGAAAAAAATTCGTAGAGCGAAAAAGTGAAATTATTTCAGATAATTATTGAATTATGGACATTTATGCGAATTCCCATTTTCATAGACGATTTCGCAGGAAGTAAGATCAATGAAAAATGTATTTCAACAATTAAACATTTTATTAACCTTTTACGGTTCGATGTTATTCTCGGATTTTCTCTGGAACTTGCTGTTAATGTTTCTTAATTTAACTTTAACACGGCATATTTTTAATTTATTTGAGAACATTTGAGAAGTATTGAAATCGTATTCGTACATTATACGATGGTGAAATTACGCATCGTATAAAGACAATTGGTGAAATATGTAACGATTGGAATACAATAAAATGTCGAATTTACTTCGATATAAAACTGTAAAAATATAAGTTGGAAATAAAATAAATTCTCCAATCGTTTCTGTTAAGTCTTTCTTTTATTTTGTATGATATATATCTATAATATCTGCAGTTCGTTAATTATCCAACGCGGAAGTAGACACATAATATACAGGTTATATAAACATATAATATAATTTATTAAATTAATCTACTAAATTAATAAATTTCAACATATTACTGAGTAAAAATTAATTTAAATTGAAACATGTACTGCTGATAAAACGAAGTATACAATATATTTGAACAAACTTTATTTAAATAACTCATTCGTATAACTAGATAATATTAATTTAATAAATTATGCTCAAAAAAG